CAAGTTTTTTGGACTTGCCATGGGCTTGGGGTTATATATAAACTGGCATCTGACACTCGTGTACAAGCAGCTGCTCATTTATTAAAATTTCCCTGAATGTAGAAGAGCGCTATGCAGCTTCTGCTGTTCCTCTCTCAATCATGTATTACCTCCTCCAGTTGTTTTTTTTCTCTTAAGCGGCCTGCTTGGTTCCTACGGCGTTCCTGGCTGGGGCAAAGATGTAAGCGTGGATTCAAACAAATAAAAATTGCTACAGATGTTTTATAAAGCATTTGTTTTATGTTTCTAGAGAGCAACTCCCAGTTGGAAGCAGAATGTCCATGATTTGTTACCAAAGGGAGGTTTGAAATATACCTATTGAGGCGCTCAGAGTTGCAGTGCTTGTATTTCTTAGCTCATATCGGGCTTGGTTGGAAACTAAAAAGGGAATTAATTTCCTCCTTTGGGGTAAAAATGTTCTGCTAGAACAGACGGAGCTTCCTTGGTGTTGCCACTATTCTGCAACAGTTGATGCCTTTTGTGCTGCATATTGTCTCACTGAATGCAATATTTCCTGTGACAGATAAGGCCAGGACTGTAATAATTTGGGAAAATCTGCCTAAGTGCAGTTTATAAGTTACAGTTAATCTTAAGAAAATGCTGTAACTTAATATTTCAATGTAAATGAATTTGGGCAAGTGCTGTCAGAGCTCCGTCCCATACACAACGCATAAGATACGTTAAATTGTGATAGCCCTTGTTCACTTGGAGACGCATGCAGAGCCCGTGTATAAATATCCCCAATTGTGAATGCTAACGAGGTTATCTTAAAAGAAAGAGTGAGAGTCTTCCTGTGTCTCTCCATTGCTTTGTCTGGTGCTTCTCGTCTACTAACAACAGCCCCTGGGAACTTTGAGTGTTGGCAATCAACTTGGAAATATTCACCTGAAGTGCAAAAGCCTCTTTTCTGTCTTTCTGTCTTTCCTTCACTTCCTCATTATTTCTCCAAAGCTCAGCAGCTGCTGAAGATGTGTAATTAAAGTTAATAGTGATTGCTGTGTGATGCACCAATTCCCACACTGACATGACTGCTGGGTGCCTCTGGCTCCCGTATCGCCGCTGCCTCTGAGCACGGGGCAGTTTTTGGGGCTCTTGAGGATTTACGTCAGTGGAATGGAGATAAAACAGCCATTATGTTCTCTTGACCATCAAGCATAGATCATGAGTTCTGCTTGATGGTATCTGTTCTGGACTGGGCTTTCTAGATGTTATATTAATACCTACAGCCACACCACTGTAGCTCTGTAGAAACAAATCTAAACCCATGTCATTACTGGAGCTGAGTGGAAAGCGCTCATTTTCCATGACCTGAATAAGAGACCATGTTATATCTGGAAATAGGAAGTCTGGTTTGGAAACTCAGCCTCTTTACAGGAATATTTCTTTACAGGAATATTTGCAGCCTTTTTGTGGCAATATGGAAAAACTCAACTGCAAAATCTGGTCTTCAGATTTATTACTATTATTATTATTATTATTATTATTATTATTATTATAGAATGCATTTTTTCCCCAAGAAGGACAATCATATCCACACCTGAAAATCATTCTCTTTTTTTTTCTGTCAAAAAGGATTCAAGTAAAAAAAAAAAGCATCGAATTTTGTTATTACATTATTGTTAATTTTAAATCACTGATTTCACACTCCCTTTTCCCTGCTCCCTTTCACTTCCCTCAAAAATACTATGTACACATAAAACAAATATTTTCCTCCCTTTGACCTTCCTTGAAGCTTCTAAGTGCTGATTTGCATTATCTGAGAAAATATTAGCTGGTAGTAATTAACACCTCAGTTGCAAGTTTTATTTCCCTAGGCAGAGAAAGAGAACAAGGTCATTTTCATGCGTAAGTAAAGCCCGTCCCGTTGCATCCTGCAGTTAAAGACCAAATGCCCAGCTGACTTCTGCTCTTTTTTCCAAGTCTAGCCTCACTGAGAATTTTGCTCCATTGAGCTTCATTGATTACAGAAGTACTTGCATTAAGCAGCCTGTATTGGCTGATGGCAAAAGAGATTTGCCGAATAGCCCTCGAAATGGCTATTCTAGCAGCATTATGCTGCTGCAGTGGTTATGTAGAGAATTGCAATGCACTTGCAGTTAGGAAAGATAGTGCTTCCGCAGTGCCTTCGTGGGCTGGTCGCTGGTCGTCCTTGTGTAGGCTCCTGCTACTGGCTCATTACTTGCTTGCGGCTGGATCCTTGGCAGCACTTGTTTTCCCGGAGCCCAAAGCAAAGTATCGGGCAATGTCCCCTTGGCCACTGACATGATAACGTTTGCTGCCAGAGCCTGTTGCTAATCGGCGGGATGGCAAGGTCTATACAGGTTCTGGCTGTAGCCACGCTCTCACAGCCCGCAGCAGGGTCGGCTGAAGCTTCCCCTGCCCAAGGTGAACGTCAGCTTCCCAGTCTCTTGGGGATCTATGAGAGCTCCGAGCGTGCTACCAGACCACACATGAATAATATTCCTCTTTATCTGGGCTGACCTCTAGCTGCTGTAGCTCACTTGCCTAGTGCAGCTCTTCAGCAAGGTCCCTCAGGAGGGATAAGTGGATAAAGTTAGTAGAAATCATGGGCATTAACTTTCATTGGTTCAGGAACACCTTGTTTTAAAGGAGGGGAGTTTTGCTGTGATGTTTCAGGATAAATGGTCAATCTGTGTAATTAATGAATTACCGTTGTAGGGATCTATTGCCTTCCTGCCTGCTTGCTCCCTGAATGTGTACCATTAATGAATCAGCTTACGTGCCTCTCCTCCTTTTCATTTTTTTTTTTTTTTAAAGAACACAAAGATTTTCAAATCCTTAACTCTGCACTTTCCTGTATCTTACACAGAGGGTGCTCTGCTAGCTCTTATTTCTGGAGTAAAATAAAATTAAAAAAAGAGATTCGTAAGCTACCTGATTTCCCTTTTCAGTTAGGGAAATAATTACTTTACGCAATATAATTTGCCTAAAACCATGACAGTTTTAACTATAGTTTAAGGCTAAATGACTGTTCAGCAAGACAGCTGGTAAAATTCACCCTGTAATAAGCCTGAAGCAATATAAACAAGCCCAGCCCATTTGAGGCTTTGAGTTAATATAGATGTCAAATATTTCTTTCAATACCTTCAAATTTCCCAAACAACCAGACATTTTCCTCCTTTATAAATGCATTTATAGCAGGTCCCACCCTCTGTCACCTAAACTCAGTGTACGTGTGACCTGCTCCTCTGTCCCGCATGCCTGTAAGTCGTGAGGTTTGAATGTAAGTTCGGCTCAAACAGAGCAGTATCCACTTTGCTGCAGTGCCATAGGCACCTGTGTGACAGCAACAGGCAGGCCTGGCTCCCAGGTGCTGCTGCCAAGAGAAAGCAGCCAAGGAAAAGGGGCCTTCAGGCCTTCCGAGAAAGCACACAAAGGGGTCGGTGAGGGTTTTCCACACTGATGAGGGTAATTTTAACCAGCAGGAGATGTAGAACTTGATCTCTGGTTCGCTGATGCCCATGGAATGGCTGCTGTTCACTTCGGCCGGCTTTGGGTCAGGCCTTTAAAATGGCCGAATCAGCCAGAAAGCAATGCCGAGCAAGTGGAAATGGTACTTGTGGAGGAGCTGGATTCCATTTCTAGAAACTAAAAACATTACTTTATAGCCTCCCAGCAGGTTAAGTAATGCCAAACAATTCTGATTTAAGTCACGGCCGGCAGAAAATCATCTCTGGGGCCTGATGTCCTTTATCCTGCTCAGATAATAACAGGGATACAATTGCAATTATGGGGATAATGTTGCAAATTCATTTGCGTGTGCTTCAGTTGTGCTGATTTATTGGTTGGTAATTAGCTTGCTAGAGTCTTAAGGATGGAATAACCTCCGCTGTTTTCATAATCAAGGCCTCGAGGGCTTTAGGAACGGGCATGCTCTCAGCAGATGGCTATAGCCTGTGCGGTTTTCCTAGCTCACATTGCATGCAGTCTGTTAGCCTATAGCACCAACTCGCTGTCTTCTACTAATCAAGTGTAAACTACACCGATATAGAGAACTCTTCCATTTCTACCCAGATTCATCTGCTCAAACAGCCCAATTAGCAGTAAACATTCAGAAAGTTGTGAATACATTTTGGGAATCAAGTGTAGTGACTGGTTACGCTCTGACAGGTTTCAAGAGCAGGTTAGATTACAGTTTGTAAGAGTATTTGAGATAGGGCTATCCGCCATTAGATATTTTGCAATTTTTCCTGTAAAAAGGTGTTGGTTTCTGAGTTGAAAAGGAGTTTTCGTTGTAGAGGAAGAGAGGGGAGAATATACAGCAGGGAAGAAGATGCATTTTGAGGACGTGTACCACAGCGGAAGGAATGAGCAAAGTTTTCCTTTATTGAAGTGAACACTTGGGGAGTCTTTCACGGATTCTTTTGTTCGGGGCAGACCGAGGACTACGGAACTCCAAACACTCAACGTGTGTTTTCCACACGCTTTCTCCTGAGTGTACATGAGGTAAAAAAAGTCCTCATGTGCAGCTCAAAGACATTTCTGTGTGAACAGTACACTCTCTATATAATATATGTAGTACTATTATAAATACTACATATATTCACGTATACTACCTCTTCATAAGTACATAATACCTCATATTTATACACAGAAATATGTATATATTTGCCACAGCCTCTGAGGCTGTTTGCGCACGGCACCTCCTGAGGGGACGCAGGTAGCGAGGCAGCTCCCTGAGGCGCCGCGGGCGCGCGCTTTTTTTCCCGCCACTGCGGGCCGTGGCGCGCCCTGCAGCCCCGCTCTGGCGCGGCAGGCGGCGCGCGCGCGCCGGCCGCCCCTATATAAGGCGCGCTGGCGCCGCGGGGGGCGCAGTAGCTGTCGGGGGGCGGCCGGGGTGGGGGCGGTAGCGCGCGGTACCCTGGGCAGCCCTGAGGCTCGGGGGCGACGGGACGTTGAGGAGCTCCTAGGGACAGACACCACTAAAACTGCGACATCTTAGTGGAGTCTGTGTGAGGAAAAACGGAGACCGCTTAGATGGGGAGAAGCAGGGACAATTTCGGTAAGAAAAGGAGCAGAGGAAAACTCCATGGGGGATGCTAAGGACAGCTTAGAGGGGTGAAAGCAGGGAAAAGTTTAGAGGGGAAAGGGCAGGCATTGCGGACAGTAGAGCAAGGGCATAGGCAGAGTGAGCGGGAGGGAAAGGCTGAGGTACCTGAAGAGGGGAAGAGACTGAATTTCTGAGGGGAAAGTTGAGGTAGTATTGAAGGAAGATGATAAGGATTTTGTAGGGATAGTGTAGAGAGGGCACAATGAACTTCTTAGACAAAAAAAAAAGAAAAAAGAATTGAGATAGGGAGGAGAACATTTTCTAGGGAAAATCTGAGATAAATTTGAAGGAGAGGGGATGAGGATTTTGGCAGAAAGAGATTAAACATATGAGAGAGGACAGGAGGAGCAGTTTGGAGCTAACGGAGAAGGGACAGAACCAATATATTTGAGGGAAAAGCTGCGATAAACCTGAGAGAACGCAGCAAATATTTCGTAGGGAGGAAGTGAGATAATGTAGAAGGCACACTGAGCTTTTTGGTAGGAAAGTTGAGTTGTTGTTAGGATTGGGCAGTGAGCATTTTGGAGAGAAAAGCTGAGGTATCTTAGAGTCAGAGCAACCATTTTGGAGGGAAAAGTTGAGGTGGCAGAGAAGGAACAGAAGGACCATTTTGGACAGCAAGATGCAAAGATCTTTCTGATTTTAGAGGGGACAGAAGCAGAACTTATGCAGGAATTGCTAGGTTCCTTCCATTTTACTTTAGCAAGTATATCTTGGGGAGATAGTGGGATAAGGTAGAGGGAAAACAATGAGAATATTTTGAAGGAAAACTGAAGTAATGTAGAGATGAGAGGAAAGGATTTTTCAGGGAAAAACTGGCATAGGTCAAAGAGGGGAGAGAAGCATTTTGGAGGCAAGAGATGAGGTACCTAAAAGAAAATATGGTGGTTACTTTGGCTGGAAATCTAGGGTAGCTTTTAGGGGACAAGTTGACCATGTCAGAGAGAAAGGTCAGAGTGCTTCAGATAGAAAAGGGCTGCCATTTTGGTGATTAAACATGTGGCGTCTTGGAGGAGGTGGGGCAAGTACCTTGGCAGGGCAAAACTGCAGTAGTCTGGTCAAAGGACAGATAAAGTCTTTCTGAGAGACAAGTTGAGGTACCTCAAAGGGAAAACATAGGGTGTTGTAGAGGGAGAAGTTGAGCTGCCACTGAGGGGTTGGAGCAAGCATTTTACACTGCTGAATCTGAAGTACTTTGGGGGAGACGGTGGCACCATTTTGGTGGGACTTGCCAATGTCCATCCAAGGAGGCAGTGATACGGTAGGAAAAGTCTGAGGTGGCTCTGGGTAGTGTATAGGTATGTCAGAGGTGTGACAGAGTCAAGGTGAGGTTAGGATTCTGGAAGACAGCCCAGATGTCTAAGCGAAAGTTATGTGGTGTCTGAAGGCTAAAGCTGGGGTAGTTGGGAAGAGGAGAAGGAAACTTGGTATCCCTTGAAGGCTGATATAATGTTTCAGGATACTGAAAGTAGGAGAAAGGTTAAGTAAGCAACCTCAGGTTCGGCGATGCTTTTTAGTTCCCGGTACTAAAATGCAATTGGTTAAAGGAGCAGATTTCCAAACCAGAAAAAAATAAAAAATTGTCATATGAATGGATATATTTTGAAAGCTGAAGCATATTTTCTTCATTGTTTTTTTTACAGCTCTGCAATCAAAGCTTCAAAAAGAAGAAAAAATCCTGCACACCATCTCTCCTGCAGAAAGATAAGGAGCAGTAGTTGCAGCTGGTGAGTTAACAGAGGGGATCTCTGCCTACAAAGGGAATGGTTTAAGGGAGGGAGGCCAGAAAAAAGGCAAGAGAGGTGGTGAACAGCTGCACATTTATTCCTTTAGAGGGCGGCCAGGGCAGTGCTTGAAGAGGCCGCGCCACTACATTTTGGGGTGATGTGTCTTGATCCTAGCCATGTGTGGTTTGCTTTGAAGCAGCTCCTACAGCAGAAAGAAGTCATGAGGAACTACGAGTCAAGGAGAAGGAAGAGAGGATGAGGAAGACAGAAGAGGAGGAAAGAGAAGGGCACGCTGGGCAAAGGAACCACCCTGCTAGCAGCAGGGCTGTGGTCACACATGAGCACGGCTGGCCCTCGGTGGCCTTGCTGCCCTTGTGCTGGGCGACCTCCCTG